AATACCTGAAAAAGTTCGAGGAAAAGAAGGTTTTATGCTCGAAAACTAACTATGGATTTGCTTATTTTTTTGGTGGTGGGGTATGAAAAGTATAGTCCCTGGATAAATATTCGATATTGCAATTATTGAAAATTGTTATTTTGAAACTTAATAATTGTTTGAATAAATTTAATGGCTTTAAGTGTTATTAATATGGATTTTTTTTATTGTAGGACAGTTTATCGGAATTTTTTTGAATTCTTAAACTAGATATGACAGTATTAAATGGATTGGAATTTAGAAAGGAATTAACTTCCTTGATAATGTTTTTATTAGATTAACTGGATTTTATTTTTTTTAACTAAGCTTAATTTTCTCTTATAATATACTTAATTAATAATAATGACTTACTTATAAATAATATATAATATTTCTAATATTCATTTTTATATTTATATGTTATTACATTAATAATATTTTTATTTTTTAAAAAGATGAATTTAAAATTTTTATATTAAAAATTAATTTATTAATAATTAAAATAAATATATTAACTTTTAATTTTTTTAGGATAAATATATAAAATTATATTTTTTATAAAGAAATTTATTTCATTCATTTTTTTTTATTAAGTAAATGCTATACTTTTAATTCCTTAGGTTATTTAGCTTTGAAAAATATACTAAACTTTGGGCATAATTTATTGTTATGAAAAAATATAAGCTTTTTGTAAGCAAACTCCACTAAATCCATCTATTTTTTCTTAAACCTATTTAAATAAAAAATATAAATAAGTATAAATTTCTTAAATATATTTTATATAATACTTATGTTGCATACTTATTTATATTCTCTTTATGATTTTCATATAGTTTTGCAAATGTATTATCGAAAATTAATTAAGAACTAATATAATCTTATTTAGTTAAATATACATAAAATCCGATATTAATTAAAAAAAAGAAATTTTGATTCATTATTAATGGTACTAAATATTCAAAAAATGACCAAATACAGCTAATACACCAATATTTTAATATGTTTTATATTTTTTATTCGTCTTTTTACTTTAAAAACTTTATAGAATAAAAAGATGGTATAATTAACTTGAATAAATAAGAACTTTATTGAAAAATAATAATTAATTTATTTAAACATTATTGAATTTTTTATTTACCAAATAAATTCCATTTTTTTATTAAATTTCTTGATATTTTTATATTATATTTATAATTAAAATAAAAATATTATAATTTTATATCATTATTATTTTTTAAAATACATAAATCCTTTTTATGTTTATTTATTTACATTATTAAAATAACAAAAAAAATATAAATTTTTTATTCAAATTAAAATTATTATTATAATAATATAAAAAAATTATTTATATTTTGTTTTTTATCATATAATAATATTTATTATAATAAAAACAACAATCATTCTAAAAGGGTTAAGAATAGTAGACCAATCGCTATTAAATCCTTCCAAATATTAAACAAATTTCGTAATTTTCTTGAAATCAGAAGGGTCTTCACTTGTCGCATACATAACTAATCTATAATATTAATTTTTAATAAGTCCATCAAATTTAAAAGTAATCGGCTCATTATTTTCATAAACTGCTTAGGCACTTTTTATTGCTTTAAGCCCAGTTGAATTTAATCCATTTCTTACTTATATAAAAGATGGATTTATTACATATTTTACTTTTCCTTTTATTGAAACTTATAATTATTCCAATATAGCGAAAATTATTCCGTTATTTTTCAACTTAATTCCACTTACAATCATGGTATTTGAATTAAATTTAATATCCCCCTATAAAAAAATAAATATTAAATAAAAAATATTTAAACTTTATTTTAAAATTCAGGTTCAAAAACATCAACTTTATCTTAACATTCATAAGAAACAAATGATTACAAACCAATATTTTATAAAATTTAATCAAAATATAATTTATATTTATCTTTATTTCCCTATTTCAATTCATCGATTTCATATAAATAATTCGAAGTTTATTACTACACTTTTTCGATATAATTAAATGGCATCAAATATAAATAATAATTCTACACCTATTATAATTATACCACAGTAATTTTCTTAATCTAATCCACAGTAATGGTTTTATCACATACATCTTCGAAAATAGTCCTCACTCTTTAATAAGGATATCTATATACTTTTGCATGTTCGCAGGCCAAATACTACATATGCACCTTACTTAACTAAAAATTCGATTTAAACCTAATTTTTGTAATATAATCTTTATTATCCTTAGTCATAAACTATAGTTGAATTTATTGAGATATCTAATGCATTTAATTCTAAGGATAAAATACAATTTAATACTATTTATTTGAAAGTAAATTCTTTACTTCCAAATAATTATTTGCCTCCATATTTCTGACTATCTTCCTATCAATCTACCTCTACCTTACATCCCCAAATTTATATACAAACTTTCTTCTATATTACTCTTTTAGCCATTCAAATGTTCTAAAATCAGTCTTTTCTCCTACCAATTATATTTACCAATACAACTCAATCGGCTAATCAGTTTTAATTAAAAATATGGCACTAGTATTTAGAGTATCTTTCAATTCAACACTAACATTTGCTTTATTTTATATGCTCTAAATAACGTTTATTTCAATAATATTCATATCATTGCTAAAATAAAAGTAATTACTATCGCTTTTATTTATACTGATTTCCATTCCGGAATTATTAATGTTGCCTGTGTACATTTTATCATTTTTCAAATATACAAAATCCCTTAGATTGTCTATATTTATCTTCAAATCACTAAAGGCTCCGTAATCCAAATTTAAATCTGGCAAAACTAGAATATTAGTCTCTATTAATAAATCACTTAAAGGGCAATTTTCTCTAAAATCAAACTCTATTGGCAAACTATATCCATTTATAGGCACTTAAATTACTGAAATTGGATAATATTTTATCTATACACCGTTTTTTACCACTTCTAATTTTAAAACAGGGGGCTAATAGTAATTTCCTCCATTAATAATGTCAAAATAAACAGAAAAAATACCGGCACTTGTTGTACTTTTTACACCAATTCTAAATTCTATATAATAATCACCTATATAGATATTTAGTTATTCAGGATAGGTTGTAAAATATACCAATTTATTTAAATTTTCTGACAATTTTAATTACATATCTCTATTAAATCTGCCCCCATTAGCTTTTTTTAATCTCAAAATACTTGAATATACATTCTAATTGACTTAAATATACCCGTTTTGAGGCTAATCCCACTTCAAAATGAAATCATTCGTAAAATCTTCGTAAAAAATAAATTTTTTAGGCATATACTATCCTAAAATTGCCTTTACAATTTTCCCTTTATCATCTAAAATATACATTTATAAGCCTTAAGGGATGCACTAAGCACTCGGATTTTCGATTCCATTAATTTTTAAAATATTAATATTCCCAACCGTAAATTATTTGATGCATTAAATTTATAAACGAAATCCTTAAAATATACAAGCAACATTATTATTGTTTAATGTACACTCTTTAATTTGATCTCTTTATTGATAAATATCAATCCAGTTTTCAGGAAAATCTATTAAAATAATATCTTTTGTGTTATAAATAACATTTCCTTTTCCAGCTTTAATTATAAAATTTAACTAGAAATCACTTTTTACAATCTCATATAAATTATTGCTTTGAAATCGATAAATTTCTATGTGATTAAAATCAGTATTTTATACAGGCAAGTCATCTATTTCTCCATATTCAAGTATAAAATCGTTAAAATTCTCATATTAACTAGCAATACATATAAATATTTTTTCCACAGTCACATAATTAGGTATAGAAATTCCACTTATTTATAAAGAAAAAGCCACTTCTTTTTAAATTTTTACTGGTAAATCCATTATAGCTAAAAAATTGTCATTTATAAATTCACATCTAGTGGTTATTTTATCTAAAATACAATAAGGTTATACAAAATGCTTTCCTTTAATATAATAATAAGGTAAGCTAACCAAAATAACCGAATTAATATCTAAATCAGCCTGCATAGGTTTAATAGAAATTTTAAAAGTGGTAAATGATCCTGGTAAATTGGGTGATTTATCCTCTAAAATAAGCTAAGTATTTGACATACTCTTTTAATCTAACCTCAAAGGCAATTATACATAATCACTTTTCAAAATATATTTGCTTGGCCCTTTTTAAGGATTAGGCTCATAATTAGCATCTATTAATCCTCCAAAAATATAATAATCTTAAACAGGAGTTAACGGTACTCTTATATTCTATAATTAAACTACATAGTTATGTTCATAATATTTTAAATCGAAAAGTACATGAATTAACATAGATTTTTCAGTGGAAAAAATTTTGCATTTATTCCATTATGATTGTATATCTTTCGTTTACGAATCATATATTAAACATCTTATATTGCTAAAATCATTCTAGTTATCGGTTGCTAAAAAGTCTAAATTGAAATAAATAATTTCATCACTGTATATGTATCTGTTTATAATTTTAAAGTTGAAGTTAATAATGGATTTTGAATATTTGTTTTTAATAAAATAGTTTATGTTAGTTATTTCGAATTTTGCTAATATAGGATTCAAGTCGTAATATAAATTTATAGGAGAAGATATTCTATCTATAGGGTAAAAATCTTATGTTTATGTTTCTATAATAATGAATTGCTTATTTAGAGGATTATCTACAACATCTATACCTTGTATTACTATATTATATTCTTTTATATTTTTTTTGTAAAATTCATCTAAAATTTCTCCTCTTAAAGTAAGCTATTTTATATTTTAATATTTATTTTTAAAAAAAAAAAATACTTTATTTCCTTCATAAAATTAATAGCAAGAATTTGTAATAATCCTTTTTTAAAAAAAAATACTTAGTATATAAATATAATAAATATATATATATAAATAAATATAAATATATATATATATATATATATATATATATATATTTATATATTTATACATTTTTTATATTTAGTCTGATGTTTCAATTAAACATTTATTATTTACATTAATAATAAAGTAAAATTATTCTGTTTGATTAGCAGTATATATTTAAATATTAAAAAACTTCGGAATAAAATTTGATGTTTAAACTAAAATAGTTAACTTTACAAATTTTTATCCTTTTGGTAAATACTTATCAAAGCTTATAATATTCAATAAATTTGTGACTGACTCTCCTTCACTGCTATCAACATAAAACTTTCGTAATTTACCATCACTTCCGCTCAATGCTGCATAAATATAAGGCGCTTTTGTTCCGCTTTGCCAAGGAATCGAAATATTATTGGCAACTAAATAACTTTTTTAATTTCTTCCTAAATCTCCTTATATAGAACAAAAAAAACCATATCGATGTTTTAACAAAACATTTTAAAAATAAGAAAATCGAACACATTTTTCATCACCCAAAATTTTGAAATCGGGATTATTTTGAATATTAAAATTTAAATCTTTTGCGAAATCATGTTCAGATACAAAAGAAATCGAAGCTCCCAAATTATCATTTAAATTAGCCTCAAAATTTAAGGGTAAACCATCACGATCATTTTCTTTAGTTTATGTATGGTAAACATATATTTTTGCATTAGTAGTTTTTCCTGTTTATTGTTTTTAAAAGTCTATTTTGTAATACTGTCCACTTATTTTTTCATAAAAAAATTAATTAAATTAATTCAAGTAATCATTATTTGATTTAAAATTGCTAAAAATATGTTGGAAAGATTTTGTAAATCCTATTATTTAATTTTAATCGGTTTCAAAACCTATTTAAAATTTTACAGTTTATTTCCCATCTGCACCAGCTGGAACAGCTAAGTTGATTTTAGAATTGAAATTTTATAAAGGAACTACTATAAGGAATTAGTTCATATTATTTATTTAACTCATGTCAATTTTAATTTCCACTCTATCCCAAAAATGGAACCTTAAACTATCCCTATTTCCTTGTTTTTTATAACAAATATTATTTCTAGATATTGAAACACCACAGCTTATTTCTTCGCCGTCTTGTTCTTTTGTAAGAAATTACATATAGTCAAAAAATATTAATAAATTTATATTTTTATTTGAAGTTTTTATCAATTTTAGTTCATCGGCTGTTAAATATCCAGATACTCTTATAAATGTTGGAAAATATTTACCATCTAAGTAGTCATCTTTTGCTATTAAAAAAATTTAATTTTTTTAAACTTTAATACTATACCTGAAATCCAATAATTAGATATTTAAGCTTTGACATTTTTAAACTTTTCTGTATTACTAATAACATACGAATTTAAAAGAAAATGAACATTTTAATTATATAGTGCTAAATCTGTTTTATCATCAGTACCTATAATACTAACATAAAAATCCAGCAAATTTTCTTAAGGACCATTAATATAAGAGAATTATTTAACAACAATATTACTGAAAGCAATATTTATATAATTGACTTCTGAAAATACAGCTTAGTTCTAAGAAGGAGGATTATTTGTAAAAGATAATTATAACTTTTTTTAAAAATAAATAAAATATGTTATAAAATTATTTTCTTACAGTCTAAGATTATTATAATTCTATAATATTACAATCTCTAATATCTAATAAATTATCTAATACTTTTATAATTTTTTTTTAAATTTTATTAGTCTATATAAATTAATTTTACAGCATTAGCTTTGGTCACCTTTTCCAATAATTTTTAAAGGAGCTAAAACTAAAAATTAAGAATTCATAGATTTCGCAACATCGTCAAAAACATCCATTTTATATCTATTCATATAAAGAATAAATTATAATAATTACTTTTCTCCAAGATCCATGTAATGAATCCCTGCCTTACTTTATTAATCAATTAAATCAGCTGGCCTTTGTTTTGTATGAACTCCTTGATAAGCATAATTTTAAATAGTAGGTAAGTCAGAAACCTAAAGAAAATGAAGATTCGGATTATAAGCAATTAAAGCAAAATCCTTTAAAGCATAATTTGTTTTTTCTAATCCTGTTATAACTGTTTCATTTAATTCATAAAAGCCATTAATTTTTGGAAACATTTTAACTTACCCTTCATTAGCTTGAAATATACTTGCACCTTTATTTAAAAAAAATTATATTAATTTTTTTTAAAAAAATACTTTAATCTATAAAAAACTTAAATTAAATAAAATATTTTTCGTTGTCTAAAATTTCTTTCACATTAATACATTCGATTCTTGTTTTTAGTATATTTTAAGGATCCCTATTTATCACTTTACATTCTGCTTTTTAATCCTAATTAAAGTTCGGAACATTATAAGATAAGGAGTTAGGTAGAATAACAACTGCATGACTAAATTATTAAATTAATTTGTAATTTCCTTATGGTATTTTAAATACATATTTATTATTTAATTCTATAACTACTTTTAAAGTATTATAAATATAATCTACTTTATCATTACCATTAGTATCTCTATATCTATAATTCTCAGCTAAAAATAAATATCTATTATTAGTAAATTTTCCGCTTTCACTTTATTCTGACAAACCCCATCCAACTAAAAAAATATATATGTAAAAATAAATGCAGAAATAAATAACTATACGTGAATAAGTTAATTTCAATTTAGGAACAAAATTATCACCAATAAGAAGCTTCATATTAGTTGCATCACTTTAAAACATTTATACAATATAATTAGTTTCTTTATGGACTCCAAGTATTTTTATAAAACTTTCCTCTCTTGTTTAAGGAAATTGTATTTAAAATTAAAATATTAGGTTAGTATTTAAAGGTATAGGTTAGTTTAATTCTATATTCAATTAATTAGGATAATATTATTAACAGTCTATACGCTGGCTTTTATCTTTATCTAATTATAATTAATTATTAGAATCTATATAGGAAATAACACAACTATTCTGATTATTTGGCTTCATAAATTTAAATAACTTATTATTTAAAATGAAAATAAGTTTGTCTATTCCTTCTTTAACCGGATTAACTTAAATAAATAGAATCTACATCTAATTAAATGTTCCTTATTTTTCTATTGCTATTTTTTTTACATCAGTATCTACATAAAATTTTATTAAATTATTATCATTTACCTTTTTTCTAATAAATTTAAAAAAAAATAAAAAATTACAATAGGATCTTAAAAATCTATTAAAGTAAAATTTGGATTTTCACCAAAAATAATAGATCCTTCATTTTTATCTGAAACGCACCTTATAATAACAGGATTGAAATTTTTTCTGTTAGCTAATAATATTGATTATGACAACTTCAAATAAATAGTATGTGTTTATAAATAATTTCCTTCCAATATATCATCTAATTATATCCAAACTTAGTTTTCACTTACTACTTCTATTGATTTTACTGCTTTTCTTAAAATAGGGTTACCAGATTGACAATTTTGTAAATTTGATTCTGAAGTGTAAAAGCCTTATGGGTTTACTAAAATATATGGTAATTCTATATAGACATAACCATATGATGGTAATGTGTTTTTCAATTAAAAGGAAAATTACAATTCAAAAATCTAACCATAATTAGGATAGTTTGCTTAGAAATTAATGTATTTAATAACACAAGAACTAAAATTTATATAAAATAATAATAAAAATAATTTCAAAAACATTTATTATTTATCTATTTGTATGAATATTAAATAAATATAGGTATATATATATATATTTTATATATACTTATATTTATTTTTAAATAGTTATTTATTTTTATAATATAAAAATGTATTAATTTTTTATATTTAAATCAATGAAATATAAAAAATTTTATATATATATAATTATAATTTTAAAAAAATAAAAGATGTTAATAAAAAATGTTTTCGTATATTTTTATATAAAAAAAATCAATTTAATAAAAAAATACTTATAATATAAATAATTTTTATAAAATGGTTAATAATATAAATGTTAAGAAAATATTTATAAATAAACAATTTTTATTTTAATAAAGCACCTATATATTATTTAATTATTTATTATTAATTTTTTTTTATTTTTATCAAAAAAACAATACATTTTTATTTAAAAAAATAAAAAAAATACCTATATTAATATTAATAATATTACATTATAATGAATAAAATAAAATAATATTTAGAAAATTTAGGTTATATGGCTGCCGCAAAAGAAGCATAAAATACATTAATCGGCGTAGTTTTAGTAAAATTCGGACTAGGCGCTATAGGTATATGGGGAGTTGCTAATACATATTTTTTTTCATATTTTTTAAAAGTAATTTACATAAATTAAATACTTTTATTTTATTTTCTAAAAAAAAAAAACAAATAAAGTATAATCCTGAATTAAAATTAAGTGAATTTAATTTTTTAGTCACAGTAGCCGCTATTCCGATGATTATAATTACTTTGTTTTCTTTATAGGTATGCGAAAAATATGGTTTTGAGAAAATAATTAAAATTACTATGATTATTAACCCGATATGTGTATTGATTGGATCTTATTAAAAAAATTTCTATATTTTTGCAGCTTTTAATACTTTAATTTCGAGTATTAGTTTCGGGATTACAGCTATGCCCATGCTATATTGTCTTTGGAGTCATTTTCCTTCAAAAACTGGAAATACTACTGGAATTGCGCTCGCAAGTTTTGGCTTAGCTACTTTTTTTTATAGTTTAATTGTAACTTTTATTGTTAACCCATAAAACTTACCAGCTAATATAGAATATGAAGAAGGAACTTAAGTAAAATATTATTGTTTATTTTTTAAAAAAATGATTAAATATTTAGTTAATTTATTTGTTTAATGATGAAATTGTGAAGAACGTACCAAATATGTTATTTATACTAGGAATATTATAATGTGTGTTTTGTATACCTGGTGCATTTTTAATAACTAAAAATTATAATTAAATTCCAAATAAAACGCAAACAGAAGTAGTTAAACATTAAACAGATATATAAATGAAACTATTAGGAGGAGTTACAGAAGACAGATTAAATTATAAAGATTAAGATTAAATAGAAATAGAAATAAAAAAGGAAACATAATAAATAATTAAAGAGAAGACAAAAAATATTCTTAAATAATAAGTTAATGATATATTTGCAAAACAAAATGTTTAAAATATTTAAAAAATAAACGAATAGTAAATGACTAAAAGTAAATCCGATAGTCATCTTTTTAAACCTACAAATTAATTAAAAAATTAAAATTATTAAGATGATGTAAATATAGAAATATTAAATTTAAAAGAAGCAATAAAAACTCAACCATTTATATTAATTTATGTTTCTACTTTCTTTTTAAGTTGCTTTTCATTATTCATTTCCCTTAATTATAAAACATATGGCTTAACAAAAATTAATGATGACCATTTTTTGACTTATTTAATTTCTATAACAACTATTGTTAGTAGTTTATCGAATATATTATGGGGATATTTAGTAGACAGATATTAGTTTAGGAGTGTCTATATTTTCCTTATATGTATAATCTTAATATCCGGATTTATTTTTCCAATTATTTCTTCTAATATATTTGGATTTTCGATGTAATTTTTTTTATTTAAAAATTTCAATAATAACTTATTTAGAATAGTATCTATTAAATACTTGGATCAACAGAAAGAGGATTATATACGATTATAGGACCTGGACTTGTTTAAATATATGGAATTAAATTAGGATCTGAATTATTTCCTATAAAAAGCACTTCATTTTTCTTAGCACTTGTACTTGTACCTGTTATTTAAGTTTTTTTATTAAAAAGATATACTTATGATTAAATTATCCATATTTTTAATTTTGGAATTGCTATTTCTTTAATACTTTCTTTTAAACTTAAGAATAAATACAATTATTATAATTGATGTAGAATTATAAAAACATAATATATAGATTAATAAATAAATAAAAACTTGTATTTAATGTTTTGTATTATTTTTTAATGAATTTTTTTTGCATGAGTAAAAAAATTTTTACTTCAATTTATTATTTTCTTTAAAATATTTTTGATTTCTTAATCGGTTTTTGTTTATTAATTTTAATTTTCATTTTCATCATCTTTATATAATAAATAAATAAATCATCATATAAATTTTTTAAGAAAACCTGAATTAGATTATATTTTATTTTTTATAATACTAATCATTTCACCATTAGGAGATTTAAAAAATGCAATCTAAAATTTTGATTACTATAAATAAATTAAAATAATACTTTTTATTCTTCATTTTCAATTAAATCTCCATCCCTTTCAGCTCCATAATATTAAAATTTTTTTAAAGTATACTCAAAATCTTCTACTTCAAAATTCAAAATCGGACTAAAACCTTTAATATTATATGCTTAACTATTATATAAAAACTTAAATGTATATTATATTTTAAAAGATAACCTATCAATTTATTTTAATATTATTTTATGATTTAAATTATCTTTAAGTTCAACTAATTATTAACTTTAATTAGTTACTTTCAATCCTACAGCATCACTATAAAATCCGGCAGTTTTTTCTACATCTTTACAAAATATTATTAAATTTTTTAATGTTGAAGTAATCTTTTTTTAATACATTATATAAAAATATAAAAAATTTAATTAATTTTAATAATAAAAAAATATTTTTTATTTATAAAAAAAAAATCTTTTTATAATTGCTTTATTATTATTAAAAGTAATTAATAACTTAATCAAATAAACTAAAATGTTAAAAATGTTTTTACTTAATTAAAATATAAAAAATTTAACAAAAATATTACAAATTAATAATTTAAAAATAAATATTTATCAACTATAATTAAATTTTACTTATGTATTTATTTTGTATATATTTTCATTAATATTTAAAAGTTTTTTATTTTTTAATATAAATTTAATAGCATAAATAAAAATTTTAGATATAAATTTAATTAATATAATAATTATATTCACATAGTTTATACTCAAATTAAAGTTGATTTTTGATAATCATTAGTAAATTTTAATTAATTCGTAATTCTTAAATTATTTTTGTAACTATTAAATATAATTTATATTTATATTTATATTGGTGATTATATTTATATATCTAATAAAGTACTTTACAAAATAAATTTTAAATTTATTAGTTTCAATTTTTTTTATTATAAAAAATTTTTAGTTTATTTTTAATAAAAATAAAAGTTTAAAATCAATATGTTTTGCATTTTTATGTTTTATAATAATATAAAATAACTATTTAAACTTAAACATTAATTTTTTATTTTATTTTAAAAAAATAAATATTTTTGAAATATATAAAATATATTATATATTAGAATGAATAATAAATATAGTCAAATATCATTTAAATTAAAAATTAATTAACATTTAAGACATCTAAATTTTGTTTCGGTTCTATTAATTAAAAGACCGTTTTCTGCACTTTCAAATTTATTATTTAAACACTCCGAGCAATTCATTTTTTATTTAAAATTCATATAAAGGCTATAAGTATATTTATGTGGTTTGTTATAACATCTAGTACATCTTTCATAATAATTTACTAAAAAAAGGCACTATTTACAAATTAGTTCACATTCACAAATTCCACTATCATCTTAATAAAAAAGACTTAAACCTTCTTATTAATATTTAACTTAAGAAAATGTTGAGTTATTAACTTTTTTATATTCTGATTATCTATTTAAAACTGCTAATGGTCTAAATCCTTTTCTACAAATACTACATGCCTATCTATTTTTAAAAAAACTAATATTTTTAATCTATAAATCTACTTATTCCTTTATATTTTTTTTTTTTTCATTATCTAAAGTATTAGAACAAATTCCTTATAATATATAACTTATTTCCAAATGGTTATATTAAATATCACAAAAAGTACTAGGGCAATACAAATATTTTTATTAATTCATTTTTAAATAAAATTGATTAAGACATTTAAAACAAAAAATACATCTACATTTTGTCATAAAGCAAAATTCAATAAAATCTAAATTTTAAGAATTTTCTGTATTATTATGTATACAGTTTTTATTAAAGCATTTATAATGCAACTTTTATTTATTTTCAAAATGTTATATTTACATTTAATATAATAAAAATTAAATTAAAAATAATAAATAATATTAAAAATTAAAAATTAAAATATTATAAATATAAAAATAGTAAGTATATATAAAATAAATTAAATTAAATTAATTAAAGTCTAATTTTTTTATTATTTATTATTATAATAAAATAAAATAAAAATAAAAATTATAATGTATTTATAAAGAATTGATAGATATGTGATTAAGGGTTAATATTGGGGTTAGGGATGGGGGTTAGGGTTGGGGTTGGGGTTGGGGTTGGGGTTGGGGTTGGGGTTGGGGTTGGGGTTGGGGTTGGGGT